ATATTTTGAAGAATGTTGGTAACCAAACAGTTTATGGTTTACAGTAGCCACAGTATGCAAAAATACAATGGCTACCATCAACTGTTTGGTTACCTACACTCTTCAAAATATATTTTTCTGTGCTCAAACACTCATACAGGTTTGGAACAACTTGATGTAAGGAAATGATGACAATTTAAATTTTTTGGCCAAATGAAGCCTTTAAGTTTTCTGTAACATTATGTTCACATATGCAAACGTTGCATTATCTAATTAAATATGCACTCATTTGCATATATTTCCAGAATAATAAACTGAACATTGCATAAAGCCTGGTCCAATTTTTTTTTTACATATTAGAGTTAAAGGCTTTTACTGAGGGGATCTCTCTTTTAATCGCTCCATAAATCACAAAATACCGCCAGAAAAAAACCACCATATTTAGAGGTTACAGTGGGTACGGAAAGTATTCAGACCCCCTTAAATTTTTCACTTTTTGTTATATTGCAGCCATTTGCTAAAATCATTTAAGTTAATTTTTTTTCCTCATTAATGTACACATAGCACCCCATATTGACAGAAAAACACAGAATTGTTGACATTTTTGCAGATTTATTAAAAAAGAAAAACTGAAATATCACATGGTCTTAAGTATTCAGACCCTTTGCTGTGACACTCATATATTTAACTCAGGTGCTGTCCATTTGTTCTGATCATCCTTGAGATGGTTCTACACCTTCATTTGAGTCCAGCTGTGTTTGATTATACTGATTGGACTTGATTAGGAAAGCCACACACCTGTCTATATAAGACCTTACAGCTCACAGTGCATGTCAGAGCAAATGAGAATCATGAGGTCAAAGGAATTGCCTGAAGAGCTCAGAGACAGAATTGTGGCAAGGCACAGATCTGGCCAAGGTTACAGAAAAATTTCTGCTGCACTTAAGGTTCCTAAGAGCACGGTGGCCTCCATAATCCTTAAATGGAAGACGTTTGGGACGACCAGAAGCCTTCCTAGAGCTGGCCGTCCGGCCAAACTGAGCTATCGGGGGAGAAGAGCCTTGGTGAGAGAGGTAAAGAAGAACCCAAAGATCACTGTGGCTGAGCTCCAGAGATGCAGTCGGGAGATGGGAGAAAGTTGTAGAAAGTCAACCATCACTGCAGCCCTCCACCAGTCGGGGCTTTATGGCAGAGTGGCCCGACGGAAGCCTCTCCTCAGTTCAAGACACATGAAAGCCCGCATGGAGTTTGCTAAAAAACATCTGAAGGACTCCAAGATGGTGAGAAATAAGATTCTCTGGTCTGATGAGACCAAGATATAACTTTTTGGCCTTAATTCTAAGCGGTATGTGTGGAGAAAACCAGGCACCTGTCCAATACAGTCCCAACAGTGAAGCATGGTGGTGGCAGCATCATGCTGTGGGGGTGTTTTTCAGCTGCAGGGACAGGACGACTGGTTGCAATTGAGGGAAAGATGAATGCGGCCAAGTACAGGGATATCCTGGATGAAAACCTTCTCCAGAGTGCTCAGGACCTCAGACTGGAACTAAGGTTTACCTTCCAACAAGACAATGACCCTAAGCACACAGCTAAAATAACGAAGGAGTGGCTTCACAACAACTCTGTGACTGTTCTTGAATGGCCCAGCCAGAGCCCTGACTTAAACCCAATTGAGCATCTCTGGAGAGACCTAAAAATGGCTGTCCACCTACGTTTACCATCCAACCTGACAGAACTGGAGTGGATCTGCAAGAGGGAATGGCAGAGGATCCCCAAATCCATGTGTGAAAAACTTGTTGCATCTTTCCCAAAAAGTCTCATGGCTGTATTAGATCAAAAGGGTGCTTCTACTAAATATTGAGCAAAGGGTCTGAATACTTAGGACCATGTGATGTTTCAGTTTTTCTTTTTTAATAAATCTGCAAAAATGTCAACAATTCTGTGTTTTTCTGTCAATATGGGGTGCTGTGTGTACATTAATGAGGGAAAAAAATTAACTTAAATGATTTTAGCAAATGGCTGCAATATAACAAAGAGTGAAAAATTTAAGGGGGTCTGAATACTTTCCGTACCCACTGTATGTAACCTGAAGTATTTATACTTTCACTAATTTGGTCCGCTACTCCACACATACCCTGTTAATTAAGAATGGATGTGCTTACAATCTGATGAACTAGAACTGATGCAGACTAATAAATGTTGCTGATGAAGACTGAAATAGTTGTGGTTTGGAGCAAGGGTTAGGTGGGTAATGTGAAAATAATGGGAGTGTGCTACATTTTCCATTTTCCACCAAAGATTTACACTGGAAAATTGTGGAGTGCTTTTGAGCTCAGGAAGGCACAGACACCCAAAGCCCTGCACCAAATTTTCAAATACAGCTCTGGAAAAAATTAAGAGACCACTGCAAAATTATCAGTTTCTCTTGTTTTATTTTACTATTTGTATGTTTGAGTGAAATGAACATTTTCGTTTTATTCTATAAATTACTGACAAAATTTCTTCCAAATCTCAAATAAACATATTGCTGTTTAGAGTAGGGACGATAAGATTCACAGATTTGCATCGGTGCATCTGCATAAAAGTTAACGATGCGCTGCATTGATTTAAAAAGTGTGCATCAGATACAAGTTGGCATTTGTATCGCGATGCATCGTTTCTAACATATTTGCATGGGTAAAAAACGATATATTTATATATAGTTATTAGTAGATGCGCTATACTTTTATTATTTAGAAAGTGACCAGTAATTTGTGACCAATATCAGATAGGGCCTTTTGATACAAGTTTGCATTTGTATCGCAATACATTTTTGCATAGGTAAAAAACTATTTATTTGTTAGTAGATGTGCTATACTTTTATTATTTATAAAGTGACAAATAATTTGTGACAAGTATTTTATACGTAGATTGATTTCTCCTCTCTAAACTGTTTCTCAAGCGCGTTCTCTCATCACCACTGCTGCTACGTGAATATGACGAATCAACACTATGGAGACCGAGGCGTGTCCTGACAGTCACATAGAATATAGATTAACATGGCAGAAGTAGAGCTGCATCTTCCACCAAATAACTACAATGAACCAAAGAAATTAAAGCGAACTATATGATATTGAATTTCATAGCATCATATTTTTTTCATTGCATCGTATTGCATTGAATCGAATCGAAATCGGATCACACTGCATCGTAATAGGGGTGAATCAAATTGCATCGCATCGGTAGCTGCTTCATATGTATTTTTTATGTATGTTGGCTATGCATCGAGATGTGTATTGCACTGGCCTCAGTTATGGAGATGCAAACATAGTTTAAAGAATTTATTTGCAGACAATGACAACTAGTCAAAATCAAAAAGATGCAGTGTTTTCAGGCCTCAAATACTGCAAACAAAACAAGTTCATATTATTTTTTAATCAACACATCACTAATGTTTTAACTTAGGAAGTGTTCAGCGTTTACCTTATATATTTGGTGGAATAGCCCTGATTTTCAATCACAGCTTTCATGCATCTTGGCATTGATAACTTGTGACCATCCATCTTTCTCTTGATCACACTCCAGAGGTTTTCAATGGGGTTCAGGTCTGGAGATTGGGCTGGCCATAACAGGGTCTTGATCTGGTGGTCCTCCATCCACACTTTGATTGACCTGGCTGTGTGGCATGGAGCATTGTCCTGCTGGAAAAACCAATCCTCAGAGTTGGAGAACATTGTCAGAACAGAAGGAAGCAAGTTTTCTTACAGGACAATTTTGTACGTAGCTTGATTCATGTTCCGTTCACAAAGACAAATGTGCCCAATTCCACCAAACAGTGGGTGTGAGACACTGTGGCTTGTAGTCCAGTCCTTATGGACTTTTGTATACCTCAGCCTGGCTCTTCTTTGTTTCTCATTGATGAAGGGCCCTTTCCCCTTGGAGCCTGTTTCGAACCGTCCTCGCCATGCACTTCACCCCAGCTGCCGTTTGCCTTTCTTTTGTAGGTCACTTGATGTAGTCCTACGGCTGTTGAGTAACATTCAAATGAGTTGAAGGTAATCCCAGTCAGTGGAGAGTCGTTTTCGCCCTCTGCCGGTCTGTAGCTTTGTTGTCCCCAATATCTTCAGCTTGACCTTGTTCTTATGAACCGCTGTCTTTGACATTAAGAATGGAAGCAACCTGTTGCTGACTGTATCCCTCTGCCAGTAAAGCCAGAACTGAACCCTTCTTTTCTTCATGCAAACTTTACTTTTCAACTCTTTTGGCATGGTCAATAGTTAAAATTTGATTCCAGTTACTTTTGACGTACTACTAGCACTGTTTTTGCCATCCAGCTGGTCCTATTGCTAGAGTATAGTGATGACCACAGCAGTTTTTTTTTTTTTTTTTTACTTTTCCTCGCTAAATAAGATTTGGTTGAGGTGATCACCTTCATTAAGCAGAATGAGTTGTGCCCATGTGTTGGAATTCAACAGACCGTGGAATGGAATGGCTGATGCTGATTTATGAAAGATTTGGAGTTGTCTCTTAATTTATTTCCAGAGCTGTAGATACATTTCCTAGAAAATGAACTGAGATCTTGGTGGCAAATCTTTTTAAAATTAGTTGTTGTAAGTGCAGTCAGTTTATATAATCCCTCCCTAGTGTACTCTCCCAGTATCTTATCTGGTCATAAAGACACAGGTGTTTGCCACATAAACAGTGAGTATGTATCATCGCTGGATTGTCCTTTTTTATGTCATTAATCTCTCAGAATCTACAACTTCCAGCTCTGATCCCTGCTATGATTATTTCTTTCTTGATGAATACTGGAGAGACATACGACAAAACGCGTATCAGTACTCTGGACATGATGACACCCTTGTTGAATGGAGTGGCTGGTATCGGCTGTATTTGAATGGAGAAAGTGCTCAGATGTCTGAGTGGTGTGTGAGTAATATGAGATGTGGTGGTGAAACTGGACTGTATCTCGCCGGTTCTCATCCAACACTTGAGGATGGAGTGGTGGCCCGTGAAGTTTTGGGAAGTTCTCTATTGTCTAACCAGTTTGACAACTACACATCCACATCCATCCAAGTCAAAGCCTGTCCAGGAGATTATTACATCTATAAACTCGTCAAGCCAGATCTGTCGATTAACAGGCCTTCATATCGTGCAGGTGAAATTTTTATCTCTTTTTCTCTCCAGAATTTTGTGATTGTTTTTATGCCATTATCAAGAGTAAATGGTCTGATTATTAGATAATACATCAATGAAATTAAACATTGTTTAACCAGTTAGAATCAGTGGTGTGCACTTCATTAACCATTCTGTAGGCTACTTTGTAATTCTCCCCACACTCTCATAGCACTTCACTAACTGTAGCTCTCATGTTATTTATAACACAGTTTACATTTCACAACTTTAGATGAACCAATAACAGCACCTTTCAACTTTAAGTGACTTAAATTTCTACTTTGTCTTGCCATGTTATTTATATTAAAATGATAATACAGAATTAATAAATTACTGCATTCATAATGGATATCTCTTCATAATTTACCTGTCCTCCAGCTAAAAATGAACCAATACATTTTTTGTTTGTTTAAATATTCGGAGGTTTGTGTGTTAGTCTAAATACCAGCTTACATTACTTTAGCAAAAATAATGAAGGCTTTATGAAATTGCACTGCCTTTACACTATTATATATTATATTATATTATATCATATACTCCGTGTTAGTACATGTGTCAATGTGAGTAGTTATGGTGTTCTGTTCAATTCTGCAGGCTGCATCCAGGTATAATTGACAGCACACCACTGGTTAAAAATGCTCAAATTGCTGTAATTGGCTGATTGAAAATCATGAAATAAACAATCATTGTGTTTTACAATGTAATATTCTAAATTGCATTCGATGTACAGTAAATACAGTATTTTAATAGTACTCTTAAAAAACTCTATGACAGTTGCTTTCAGCAGCATCAGCAGTGATCCCAGCTACAACTATGAGTCTCTGGATCGTCCCTGGAGAGCCAACAATGAAAGTGGAGATTACCTTTGTGATGAACGTTTCTCCTGGAATGGCTGGCACCGGCTTTTCTACTATGGGATGAACATCCAGATTTCAGAGACCTGTGTTAGTTCATACAGCTGTAACACAAACATCAATCTGTGGCTCAATGGTCCTCACCCTCAGATAGAGGATGGAGTGGTGATCAGAGAGGTCTGTGGCAATTATTTTTGGGATGAGTGCTGTTATTACAAGACAAACCCCATCAGAGTGAAAGCGTGCCCAGGAAATTACTATGTCTATGAACTTTTCTGGTGTTCAGGATACTGCACAGGTAATGTGCTTTTTCTCTTCACTCTTTTTTAATTAAGTCTTTCAAAGGTTTTAAAATCACTTCAGTCATGTTTCGAATGTCCTCCTTTTTTAGATGTCAGCACCATTTCATGGCCAATATCCACAGTAAGTCCAGATATAATTACTGGATCCAGCATGACCTCGAGTAAGTTACATTTGAATTAATCTATTTAACCTCTTTCTCTATGTGTGTGTATATGATCAAACACATTAACAAACATGAGATTTTCAATGTCATTGCCAATACACACACACACACACACACGTATGTATGTATGTATATTGGCAATGACATTTAAATTTCATGTTTGTTAATGTGCTTGATTAGTTCAGATTTGCACTTGTGAATTTGCTCATTGAAATATAACTGGTCTGTTTTGGTCTGTCACTAACACAGATTATGACCCGTGCAATAACTACAACATACTAGACAACCACTGGAGAAGCACACTCAATTACGGGTATTGGAATGGCTATGCAAATCTACTTGATGACACTCGTGTAGAATGGGATGGCTGGTATCGGCTCTTCATTGATGGATCAAGTGCTCAGATGCCTGAGTGGTGTGCATCATTTATGTCATGTGGAGGTTTTAGTGGTCTGTGGCTTGGCGGCTCTCATCCTCAACTAGAAGATGGAGTTGTTACCCGTGAAATTTACGGCTCTCGCTATGATCAGTGCAGTCGCTACAGATCTGAACCAATCCAAGTTAAATCTTGTCCTGGAAATTATTATGTCTACAAATTTACCAGACCAACTCTTTCAATCCCAGCTCCTGTATATTGTGCAGGCATGTTCATTTATCTTTTTATTTGACATGTTTATCACAAATTGTATTGGTTTGTATTTATATTATTATCTTGAATAGATTTAATATGCAGTATGTAATGCTCTCTTTCTACTTTTTAATAACAGTATTGTTAACCACTCCAAGTGTGGACCCCTGCTACAACTACACCAGTCTGGATGAGCCTTGGAGAGCCACTGATTACTCTATGTATACCAACAATTACTACCATGACATGTGTGATAATGGGGAGTGGAATGGCTGGTACAGGCTATTCTACAATGGTCAAAATACTCAGATGCCAGAATTATGTGTCAATCAAGGCATGTGTGGCACTGAATCCCCACTGTCACTCAGTGGCCCTCATCCACAGCTGGAAGATGGAGTTGTCACCCGTCAGGTCTGTCTCCCATGGGGTGACTGCTGTACTTACACATCCCACCCTATAAGAGTCAAAGCCTGTCCCGGAAATTACTATGTTTACGAGTTTGTCAAGCCAATGGTTTGTGGAGCTTACTGTGTAGGTGAGTATTTATTCATATGTAATTAAATCATTTACTTTTTTGGGTTATGGTTAAAAATGTTTGATACTGAAATAATAAAAAAAATAATTCTTAATACCAGAAGCCTCAAGCCAGTCCATCCAATTAGTTTCTACAACAACAGAGCGAATTCCACCCATAGAATCCATTACTCCACCAATCACAACCACTGGTAAAGTATTGTCTTTTTTTAAAACCTCAAGAATATCTTTTTACTCATTTATTTTCATTACACATAGTCTCTTAAAATGTTTCAGTGTTTCGGTGTTGAAAGCGGAGCTGAAGTCCACAAACAAGATCCTTGCATAAGTCCCTGGTTTGTCCAGATGTTGGAGGATGTAGTGCAATCCCATATTGACTGCATCATCCACAGACCTGTTTGCTCGGTAAGCAAACTGCAGGGGGTCCAGCAAGGGTCCAGTAATGTCCTTCAAGTAGGCCAACACCAGTCTCTCAAATGCCTTCATGACCACAGATGTTAAAGCAACAGGTCTGTAGTCATTAAGTCCTGTGATTTTTGGTTTCTTGGGTACAGGGATGATGGTGGAACATTTGAAGCAGGAGGGGACTACACACAGCTCCAGGGATCTGTTGAAGATCAATGTGAAGATGGATGATAGCTGGACAGCACAGGCTTTGAGGCAGGCTGGAGAGACACCGTCTGGGCCTTTGGCTTTCCTTATCTTCTGCTTTCTGAAGACTTTGCATACATCCTCTTCACAGATCTTGAGTGCAGGATAAGAAACAGTAGGGGGGATGGATGGGGAGGGTGTTGGTGGCTGTGCTGTGAGACGGTCGGAGTGGGTGTGGGGTGTTAGACCAGGCTTTTGCTTTTCAAACCTGCAGTAGAACTCGTTCAGGTCTTCAGCCAGTTGTTGATTGGCCTCAGTGCTGGGGGATGGGGTCTTGTGATGGCTTTCAGGCCTTTCCACACTGATGTAGAGTCATTACTTGAAAGCTGTTTTTTTAGCTTTTCAGAGTAGTTTAACTTTGCCACTCTTATATCCCTATTCGGTGTGTATTTGGCCTGTTTGTACAAGTCTTTGTCCCCACTCCTGTAGGCGTCCTCTTTGGCCTGGCGAAGCTGTTTGAGTTTTGCACTTAACCAAGGTTTGTCGTTGTTAAATGTTAAATAAGTCCTGGTGGGAACACACATGTCCTCACAGAAACTGATGTAGGATGTCACGGTGTCAGTAAGCTCATCCAGATCAGTAGCTGCAGCCTCAAAAACACTCCAATCAGTTCGAAGCAGGCCTGTAAATCCTGCTCTGCTTCAGCAGTCCATCTCTTTACAGTTTTCACTACAGGCTTAGCAGATTTTAGTTTCTGCCTGTAGGCTGGTAGAAGATGAACCAAACAGTGATCAGAGAGTCCCAGAGCTGCTCGGGGGACAGAGTGGTATGCATCCTTTAAAACAGTGTAGCAGTGGTCCAGTATATTGCTGTCTCTGGTGGGGCATGTGATGTGCTGTCTATATTTAGGCAGTTCACGGGTGAGATTAGCTTTATTAAAATCACCGAGAACGATAATGAAAGAGTCCGGATAACGTTGTTCTGTGTGTGTGATCTGATCGGCCAACAGTTCTAGCGCGGCGCTCACACGCGCGTCAGGAGGAATGTACACACTCACCAGAATAAACGAGGAAAACTCCCGCGGTGAATAAAAAGGCTTACAGTTAATGAAGAGAGCTTCCAAATTTGGGCAGCACATCTTCTTTAAAACTGTCACGTCTGTACACCAGCCTTCATTGATATAAAAACATAATCCACCGCCTCTCGTTTTCCCCGATGACGCGGTGACGCGGTCCGCTCTGAACAGCTGGAAGCCCGTTAGATATAACGCGCTGTCCGGGATGGCTCCGTTCGTAGTTCGTCTGATTTATTTGCTAAGGAGTGGAGATTCACCAGATGAATGCTCGGCAGCGGAGTCCTAAAACCGCGCTGTCGGAATTTCACGAGCGCGCCGGCGCGCTTCCCTCGCTTGCGTCACCTGGAGCGCTTGTATAGGAACGCAGCTCCTCCGACTAAAATGTCCAGTAAAACATCTGAATGCTCAAATGTCGGCAGAAAGTTATTTGGTGTGCTATTTCTGATGTCCAGGAGTTCGTTCCGAGTAAAGCTGATCGGGAAAACATTGCTTAAAACAGGACAAACAAACAAAAAAAGTACAAGTACCAAGTAGCGACAAACCATGGCTGCCATACGCGGCGCCATCTTGCATCAATATCAAAATGAGAAGGAAAGGACAACAAGTGCCTATACACTCATTCTTTATTTGACTGATGTTGTTGCTTCTCTAACTATTTATTTAAAAGATAGTGTAACAAATGGCTAATCATAATGAAGAACTTAACTGAAGTGCATTTTTATTAATAGCAATAACCATACCATTACTGTTTCTCAGACCTCTGTAGACTCCTTTTATAACCTCAAACTGATCCCAGACCCAAAAATGACTTAAAATGACAGGAAATGCATGTGTGCACACAGATAAAAGATAAGAGTCAGAGTGAAAATTGATAGCATTCATTTATTTATAAAATTTTACAGTGTATAATAATACGTATAAGATAATTTGGCACAAAGAAGATACAATTTATTCAGTGGTTTAAGTGCAGACCACCAAACACAAACCAATCATTTTAAGTAAGAGCCAAATTGCGTTTTCAATTAGTTCTTCTCAAAGTCAAGTTATTCAATTGCAAAAGGACTCATGGTAGCCATTTGTTTCAGCAAAATAAAAGTAGATGTTCAAACTCAAGACAAACTGTTTTCAACTTTTAATAACTTTAAACACAAGTGCAACAGAGGCTGCATTTACACTGGCACACAAAAAAAAATCAGATTTTGTTGCTCACATCTGACAGATCGGAATTTGTTGCACGTGTAAACACAAAAATGAGTGTAAACACAAAAAATTTTTCGCATCTGTTCTGAGCCACTTTCGAAGGCCTCATTCATATGTGGAAATAAATCTGATATGAATCGGATACGTGCATTTGCGCCTGCCGTGTATGTGGACAGATTGGATATTCCCCTGTTAATTTGAGTTGGATGTCAAATGTTTTTGAAACATCTCGCAGTACAGATATATCTTTTACAAATGAAACATCTCTAGTTGACTAGCAGAGTATTCATTTTGTTCGTTTGTGTTAAATAAGAGGCAATCTGTCGCTGAAATGTGTTGCTTTGCTGAGTGCTCATTGCCGCTGTTATGAGTGATGGCGGCTCGTGCACAGACGAGTGCTTCAATCTATTGCTAACCAGGGCCGTAGCCAGGGTTTTAAAATTACCGAGTTACTTTACTGAAGGCTACCAGGAAAACTACGTAATTAAGTTTAATAAATTTACAATATGTGCCCATTCATTATGAATCATATGCCTAATATTTGCTTCATTAATATTGTTTTTTGTCCACTCACATTGACAGTTGTGAATCACATTACATGAATCACGTCAATTCAAAATGGAGAAATTAGATAAGTTTATTAGTTTGCATTCCTGATTATTTTTGCCAGTCGTTTAACATTTCTATCATAAAACAGCTGTCAGATATGAAATGTTTGGCTACTTACATCTTATCCCGCAATTTATAGCCACTAACTGGAGTGTCACTTTGAAATTTGCGCTATGCAGCTTCTGTCAACATAAAGCTACTTTGATTTGATTGGTCATCTCAAATATTTTTTGACATTGATGAGTGGTGACTGGTCAGTGACAGACGGCTGAGGCAGCTCAAATGAGGATGTTTAAAGGGGTCATATGATGCTTGATGACATAATTACTGATTATAATGACTTATACTGTCTTTTTATGCGTTGTGTTGCATTGCATCGCGCCGCGTAAACATAAAACCCTGTCTGCATTTGTGATCAGAGAAATGACAAACAACAAGTGCTACTTTACACTGCCCAAAACTCGCGTTTGAATCATCAGTGGCAAATCCTTTAAATGAAAACGTACTTACAGACTGTGAGTCAGAACTGTCGGCATTTTAGTCTAACGTTTCTCACCCAGGATCAGTAAACAGTCCTCCATAAAATGTGCTGTACACATCTGGATATTTGGGTTAAACTGTTCTGGAACAGTGTTGTAAATACAACTTAACCACTGATTTGTAGTCGTGTCCTCTTTTGGAAGACCAAACAAAGTAGTTTCGCTTTCACAACGAAAAACACAGCGGCTTAGCGTGAGCTGAGGCCAGGCTAGAGTGAGCAGAGGCGGCTGGCGAGCTGGACTCCGCTTCGTCCACAGTGAAAGCCGATCTGGCGATCCACAGCACTAAGTTGATGTATTCCCTCAGCGACCAGCACAGATCAGCTCTAGGCATGATGAAGCGGATATCGTCCTCTTTTGGAAGACCAAACAAAGTAGTTTCGCTTTCACAACGACGCACACAGCGTCTTCACGACATGGCTGCAGCATCAACAATACTACAGTGAGAATAAAAGTTACGCCTTCTTTCTTTGCGTGAACATTTGGGCGGCGTTATGCAAATCTTCCCACATAGTGAGGTAGATATGTGGGGGCATGTTAGAACGAGCCGTTTTAGGTAGACGTGGCTGACTCTTAACTTTTATAAAGAATATCTCTTTGGATTTGAGACTTTAGTCTTTGCAGCTTTACAGATCTTCTTTATGCACCAAGAGCTTGTAACACTCCAAAGAGAAAGGAAAAATTGAAATCGCATCATATGACCCCTTTAAGATTAATCTTGGTCCTGTGCAATATATTTGCAGCATGAAGGAAGAGTTAATAATATATTAGGCAATTATTAAAAAAAAAACACCTTGGGAAAATACAGAGGTCCGAACCACGGTGACCTCATAGTGTCACGCCATGGACTGTTTTGTGTTTGTTTTCCTCCCCCACGTGCTCCATGTCCTAGTTTTCAACCGTGTTCAATGATTTCAGGTGTTTCTCGTTGAGTCTCTTGTCTAGTCAGGTATTTAAAGAGTGTTCTGTTCCTTGGTTTTTGTCCGGTGTTAATTGTCTATTCCCCAGTGCTACGTGTGTGTTCCTTCCTGTGTGTTCCCGTGGATGAATAAAGACTGTTCCTTGTAAATGCTCCCACGTCTCCGCGTCTCCTCGCTCCAGCACAGTAGCAGCAGCGTGACACATTGCAGGCTATGAGCATGTTGCTAACTGTTGTGGAGACTGTCTCTCTATTCATTCGTGTGAAATCTCATCTGCTTTTCAATACAAAGTATGCTTTATTGATAGTGTGTGCAGAGTTTGGTCTTTTAATATCACTGTCTAATGCATTGAGCCACGTCAAGTTAAGCCTGTATAGTGTAAATGCAGATATCGGATACGGGTCACTTTTAAAAGAACGTGTAAGCGGCTCATCAAACAAACGGATATAGTCAGAAAATCTGATTTGGGAATCCAGATCTGCAGTGTAAATTCAGCCCAAATGTGGTTTTAAATCAGATACATATCTGATATCTGGACATCCGACCTACGTCTAAACACACATATCTGATTCCCTGCAGAACTCCCAATGTGAGGGAGCAACATGTTTGCCCATATAGATTGTGTTTTAATGCTGGTGTGCTGTATGCGCTCACATTTTATTGATACAGAAATTTGATATAGGTAAAAAATTTTACATTCAGGAGCTGGTGTTCAACCCCTGCCCCATGAGTTTTATAAATACAACTAAATTAATTTAAATAAATATCATCTTGGCGCTACTTTATTTCACTAAAGAATTCTACCTCTAACGAGCTGTAGATAAAATAGCCTAACAAATGAAAATTACTGTTATTTTCCATTATTTATCTGTTCAGGCAGATTTTGTGCTGCAAAACATCCATGACAGCTGTTGTCCATGCTGGCAAATAATAATGGCCACTCAACGTGAATTATAAATAATTTTAATAGCACGGCCATTCAAAACCTGAGAGTCTACCATATGCATAGTAAAGCGAAACTGCAGACAATCATTTTGGGTGTGAATTAATTTAAACACAGATATCGGATACCAGTCGTGTCTAAAGTGAATGTAAACAAACGGGCCAAAAATCAGATATGGTCAAAAGATCGGATCTGTGCATTAAGACTAGCAGTGTAAATGCAGCCATAGAAATTAAGTGAGGACTGTTCTGGAGATTTCATACCACTACTTATGTTGTACAAAAGAATGTATAACATTCATTCAGTCCGAAACATTTACTTTTCTAATATTTCTTAACAACAGCTCCCCCTGTTGACCCCTGCTACAACTACAATGTCCTGGATGATCTATGGAGAGCCACCAACAATCAACATTCCTCTCAAATAATGTGTGACTCTTGGGTCAGCTGGAATGGCTGGTACCGTCTCTTCATTCAGGGTCAGAGCGTTCAGATGCCAGACACATGTGTTGATGAGTATAGTTTGTGGCACTCATGCTCCACTGTGGCTGAACGGAGGACATCCAACAGTTGAGGATGGAGTGGTCACTCGAGATGTCTGTGGTCACTGGGACAATAACTGCTGCCATTTCCAATCCAATCCCATTAAAGTCAAAGCCTGTCCTGGAGGGTATTATGTCTAGTTTGTGGAGTTTGTGAGTCCAACTATCTGCTATTTGGCATACTGTGCAGGTAAATATATTGACATGTGCTCTCTGTTTTTGTAAGAGATTATTGTTTTCATGTAATATTCTTTTTTTCAGATGCAAGAAACATAAACACTACCTCTACTACTGTAATGCCAGAGACAACCACAACCACAGAAACTACAACTGAAACTACAATGCCTGGTAATACAATGTGTTGTAAAAATTGTAGGTTTCCCAACCTACAATTTTCAGAGCATTAAATACAAGTTGAGCAAGTTTCTAATGAAAAAGTATATAATATTCATTCAGTCAGCAACATTTATTTTTCTAATATTTCTTTACCATAGCTCCCTCTGTTGACCCCTGCTACAACTACAATGTCCTGGATGATCTATGGAGATCCACCAACAATCAACATTCCTCTCAAATAATGTGTGACACTTGGGTCAGCTGGAACGGCTGGTACCGTCTCTTCATTCAGGGTCAGAGCGTTCTGATGCCAGACACATGTGTTGATAAGTTGAGTTGTGGCACTCATGCTCCACTGTGGCTGAAGAGAGGACATCCAACAGTTGAGGATGGAGTGGTCACTCGAGATGTCTGCGGTCACTGGAGCAATAACTGCTGCTATTTCCAATCCAATCCCATTAAAGTCAAAGCCTGTCCTGGAGGGTATTATGTCTAGTTTGTGGAGTTTGTGAGTCCAACTATCTGCTATTTGGCATACTGTGCAGGTAAATATATTGACATGTGCTCTCTGTTTTTGTAAGAGATTATTATTTTGTGTAATATTCTTTTTTTTTTTTTAATTGTCTACTTTGTCATGTCAGAGACAACCACAACCGAAACTACAGCCAAAACCACAACCACAGAAACCACACCCGAAATCACAAGGACTGGTAATATAATGTGTTTTATTACAATCTGGAGGATTATTATTTTACATGAGCAAATCAGACCCATGTTATGTGTTCGTGACACATGTAAAGAGTTCTCATTAAATAGTGTTTAATAGTGTTTAATCTTTTGTTGCAGAACTAGTTCCTTTCCAGATCACCATGTGTACTCAATGCAGGATCTGCAGTTGCTAGCTGAAATGATTTGTCCAAGAGTCTATTACTAATTTGATCATACAGAATTATCTTTTTTTAAAACCTAAAAATGTGGAAAGTTTTGAGTGAGGGGTAGGTTTATGGGTAGGCTTACGGTAAGGGGATAGAAAAGTACTGTACAGTATACCAATCTTTATGTCTATGGAATGTCCCCATAAAACATGGAAACTCAACATGTGTGTGTGTTTAATAACACAGGCTCTAAGAACGTAAACACACAGAAAATATCTTAGAATTTACCTAATGTAGTATTTATTGTGTCCAAATGTTGATTTTGCATATTGCGAAATATAAAAGAATTCAGGTGGGAAAAGAAAGCCATGTCAAATCTCAGAAGAAACATAAACAGAACAGAAACTTTTACAGGCTTCTCTCATTAACACATGTAACCTGAAGTATTTATACTTTCACTAATTTGGTCCGCTACTCAACACATACCCTGTTAATTAAGAATGGACGTGCTTACAATCTGACTAACTAGAGCTGATGCAGACTAATAAATGTTGCTGAAGCAAACTGAAATCGTTGTGGTTTCAAGCAAGGGTTAGGTAGGTAACATGAAAATAATGGGAGTGTGCTACATTTCCATTTTCCTCCAGAGATTTACACTGGAAAATTGTGGAGCGCTTTTGAGCTCATCGTTTCTAACATATTTGCATAGCTAAAAACCGGTTTATTTATATATAATTATTAGTAGACGTGCTGTACTTTTATTATTTAGAAAGGCACCAATAATTTGTGACCAATATTTTATAATTAGATTGATTTCTCCTCTCTAAACTGTTTCTCAAGCGTGTTCTCTTATCACCACTGCTGCTACGTGAATATGCCGAATCAACAATATGGAGACCGAGGCGTGTCCTGACAGTCACATAGAATATAGATTAACATGGCATAGGTAGAGCTGCATCTTCCACCAAATAATTAAAATGAACCAAAGAAATAAAAGCGAACTATCTGTACCATATTGAATTGCATAGCTTCATATTTTTTTCCAGTGCATCATATTGCATTGAATCGAATTGTGTTGAATCATGACTTTATCCCACTCCGGGCACACAAATTCAAGCAGCTCAGCCTTGTTTGATGGCTTAGCCCCTTAAGCCCAGAGCACAAACATGGCACATCTCTCTTTCTTGCTCACCGCAGAATGTTCAGGACCACAAAACATTTTCTAGCTGCCCCACTTGCACATTTATCCCAATCAATTTGAGCAAGATCATATAAAAAAGATTGCTCATTAAAATATTTCATAAAACGCCTAGTTATATTTCTCGGATTCTGCTTGGGTAGCTTCTTATCTCTGGCTACTGCCACAACACAGTGGTCACTGATATCGTTTGCGAATACAGAAACTGAAGAATATTTATGCAGAGCGTTTGTAAAGACAAGATCTATTAATGTCGATTTTTCTTGGAATTTCAAATTAGGCCTAGTGGGTGTATCTACCAATTGAAAAAGATTATGACTATCACAAAACAATTTAAAATCATCAGATATTGAGTGCGTCCAATTAAGATTAAAATCACCCATTAAGATCAGTTCCTTGTAATTCAAAGAGGCCAATGAATGCATCATAGAATGTAAAACACAGCTAGAAGCTGAAGGAGGTCTGTAACAACCAGCTAAAGTGAGCTGAAAGGTCTTAGACACAGAAAGATTTAAAGCTAATAGTTCATACTGTTTAGTTGTTGACACTGAACGTATTAATGATGCCTCAAGATGTTCTTTGACATAAATTGCTACCCCCCCCTTTTTAACCTATCTGCTCTAAAAACCCTATAACCAGCAATACTAATGTCGTTGTCTGTGATAGATTTATTAAGCCAGGATTCAGATATGACTATAACATCCGCATTTGTATTTTTAGCCCAAATATACACCATATCCAACTTAGGCAACAGACTACGAACATTTAAATGTATAAAACCCAATCCAGACCTTGATCTCAACTTGACTGGGGTAGTAAAGTTTGAAGCAACGTGATGTCCTGAGTTTGGCGATACATTCCCAGACATTAATAACATTATTACTATTAAACTCCTTCATTTAACTGAATTACTCACTCTAATTCTAGTCATCGGCCCCAAACAAAAAAAATATATTAAGCGTACAATAATTTACCTCCCTAGATAAAGCACATCTCAAAAAATCAAAATACATAAAATTCATGGGGTACAACATCCCATAGTGTTGTTCAAGAATGACATAGTTTGTAGATACTCCATAATATGTCCAACTATCAAAATTTACCAATGATGAATTATATGATAAAAATGGACCTAAAGCAAACCCGCTGCCACTTGTATATACTTGACAAAATGTCCAAAACAAACTTAAAAAGAACATGCTTCCAGTGGTTAAACACCGCATACTGTACACAAGCAAGTCGACGGCCACAAAAGTCCAAATAAGCCCGTAAAACAAAGGCAGACACGTACCATTTTCTTGTGCTCTTGACGAAGATCCCCGTCACACAGCCAATTTAGACCCAAAATGCAGACTTGTAGACTGATGCCTTTGCGCAATGTAATAAGCATGAGCAATTCAACAAAAACAGTCAGATTTAAATCCAAATCCCGATCAAACAAAGCTTTGTGATCTTAAAACTCCAGGATGAGATGAGACGGCAGCACACAGTCACGCACAGATGAGATGACTTGATCCGGACGACTTGTAGACAATGCTTAAATAAACAGTCAGATTTAAATCCAAATCCCGATCAAACAAAGCCACGTGGGCCCAGAACTCCAAGATTCAGGCTCAGATGGTAGCACACAGCCACAAAAAACAAAACAAACAAAAAAAACCTTTGGGCCCTTCCATTTGTTACAGATTGATTCTTTGGAGGGCCCAAACAGACCACCCTAAAGACTACTCAAAGTCTCCAAAAGATTCAGTGGGGAAGGGTGCACAAGACCTCACCACAAAAAATGCTACTTGTGCCCACATTCTCCACCATTAATATATAACCCACCATTATTTCACTTGACCGTTTTTTGTGTGTGTTTCTAATGTTGCTTTCATTAAGTTCTTTGTAATAGAAATTACATCTTAGCTAAATTACTATATATATGTGTTTTTCACAGGCCAACGGCACCCACTTCATCTACAGTAACTGTATTCTGGGGACACCGAGTTCAGAAGGTCTCATCAGCAGAGAGAAAATCCTTAAGCTTCCTTTCAGCTGTGTTTATCCTCAAACTCAAACACTTTCCATGAATGTGGAAATCAACCCACTGGAGAGGTGCGAGTCAAATACAAATTCTGATTTTGGCTGTACTGTTTTATTAAAGGAGTAGTTCACCAAAAGCAAATTTTTGCTCATCATGTTGTTCTAACTCTGGAATTTTATTGGTTGCACTTTTTAATGCACTTAGTCCTCATGGGGACTTTCAAGCTTCAAAAAGAAAACAAAAGCACCACAAATGCTTTATAGAAATGGTCTATGTTATCTGTATGAATCATTTTGAGTAAAAGATCAGATGAACAAATCGCTTCCAATTCGGACATCACTACTCCTCTAATGAGCTGTCATGAATGTGTCAAAGAAAACATTGTGGATGTGAAAATTTTCAGTGAATAATGATGATAGTTTTTGCGTGAACTAATCTTTTAAGCAGAAAAATAAATGTATATAAAAAATATATATGGTAATATTTTTTTAAACAAAGATGAAATATTTTACCCTTAAAACAGAGTAATTTTATAACTGACCTGGCCATTATTTCAACAGTGTTGTGCACAGGACTCTTCCCGCTGGTGAAGGCAGATATCAGGTTCGGATGATTCCATATGAGGATGATGAGTTTACCCGGCCCTTCACTGGTAAAGTGGATGCAGAGCTCGACCAGAAGATGAATGTGGAAGTTCGTGTCGAGGGGGTTGACAGCCGTCAGTTTGCCCTGGTGTTGGAGACGTGTTGGGCTACACCTGTGAATGATCCTGATTACAGTCTCCGCTGGGATCTCATCGTTACAGAGTAAAGCTGTTTCTATTCCTTAAAGCTCAGTCTTAACTCACTGTAACATTTTTAAAAATAACTTTTGATCTGCACATATTGAATAAATAATATTCCATATTCCTTTAGGATAACCTGATATATTATCTTTCAGTATTGCTGTACTAATGCAAAAAATTCCATTTATTATACATAGAATGCAAATGTGTGATGATTTACAGGAAATCACTTTTGAGTTGAATGTCTTTAAAGTGAAAGAATTTGATTTATTTATTGTCATTATTGCTATTCTCAGGTGTCCCAATCCAAATGACGACACAGTGGAGCTGCTGCAGAACGGCGTCTCGACATCCAGCCGTTTCTCCTTCAGGATGTTTATCTTCACTGCAAACTCCACTAAGTTTTACCTGCACTCTGCTGTTCACCTGTGCCTTCTGTCAAGCAATCGCTGCTCAATGGTGAGTTTGGAAAACCTCTCATAATTAATAAAACTGTGATGATAATATGTTTCTGTGTAGATATTGAACTATTGTATGAAAATGTACTGAATGTATCTTCATAGTTAAATGTAGTGGCTAAATTGTACATTTTTAAGAATTTACCATTGATAAACCCCTGTTGATCAAACATTAAATATTGGAAGGGAAATGTTCCCCTTAATGTCCATTGTGTTAAGGTTTGTACTCTGCTGGAGACTTTGTGCACTCCTTTATGTTTCATGTTTGTGCAATGATATTTATCAGGGATTTACACAGCTGGATTTTTGCATTTCTCTTTTAGGACTGTAACTCTGGACACCACTGGAGAGAGCACAGGTCTCTGGACTTCCATGACAGTGCTTCCATATCCATGGGTCCTCTGATGTTGTCTGATAGGAACACAGGTGAACATTTCATTTATTTTAATCATTTGTAAATTAGGGTTTCTGTTGATTTCTGCTGTCAATACATTACATTTGATTGCATTATATTCCCTGTTCACAGATAAGTGGATGCCAGAGAAAGTGAAGGCATCTGAGGCTTCTTGTCTGTGTGGTTCTCTGATGCTGTTGCTTGTTCCTCTGTTGAGTGTCCTGACCCTCTTTTAGTATTTTTCCACAACAAATGTGCAATATGCACATGCATATTGTCTAGTGCCATACTAATGAATGTGGAACTGATGCCACACTGGTTGTGGGTTTCTATTTTTTTTATTTCTTAGGTGTTTTTTATATAGTAAAATCAAATAATTATTTAGTCTTTATTTTCTGATTTGCAGTTCTTTTTCAATCTGTAACTTTTAGTAGTTGAAGGAAATACTTCTATAAAAGACTGAAATCTTTCAGAAATCTGAATGAAAAACTGAAATATGTGATATTGTGATAGTAGAATGATTTCTTTCCTTAATACAATTTTATTCTGACATTTATTAAGGTGTATAAATTATAGGGACATGAAAATGCAGTCTGAATGACCCAAAAGGTAAATGAGGAAAATAAAAATTTAAATAAATAAATTTGAGGGTTAAGCAAAATGAGTTTTCTTGTTTTCTCTTTTGTTGACATTTCCTTTTAGTAAAAAAAATAAGAGAAAGATTAATGACCAGTGTGTTATCTTTTTGCTGCTATCTTTGCAATTTTACAGTTTTGTATATCTTGCATAGTGATGCTTTGATAAAATGCATGAGAAGAGCCTTGCTATTTTACTTTCCTCTCTAGAGGTTTTGAAGAATTTTCCCACACTGGTTTAATTGTTCTTTCTTTGAAGGTAATATGGGGTGAGGTGAGAGCCGATCTTATACTTCTGGGGGACCTAAGCAAAACTTTGCGGGGGTGGGGGGTATTTTGGTGGTGTTGTCTGTGCGTCCATAAAAAACTATTTTAACAATTTAGCCTATAATAGCCTACTCTACAGAAATTGATTAAAGTAATTAAATGTAAAAATAAAGCACTGCATAGACTTCACCATATAAATTAAACATAAATTGATGAATAATATTCAGTGAAGAGCAGTTTGTTAGCATAATAGGGCTAGGTGTTATAATCCCAATATCAGCACCATTTAGCCACACCATAGAGCATTTTCTCCTTTGCTGTGAGCAGAACACCAAGACACAGCAACTGTTACGCTCTGATATTGGTTCAGCAAGAATCCAGGATCATGGCCTAATGCCATGTCCATGGTTCTTGCCTCCATACCCAATAATCAGTCGTGAATTTACAATTGCTTTACACATGACTGGGGAACAATAAGATAAAGGACTAGTATGGTAAGATGGATAGATGAAGATGAAAGGTACAACTCTTTACTGCAGTCACCAGGTAGGGATCCACATTCCTTGATGTTTTGATCATATGTTATGCTGTACTTGATGTGTAGCTACTTATCTTTCATGGATGTTGCCACCACAGGCTGATCAGACCCGGGTGTGTGTCACTTAGTTACATGGTCATTTGGCAGCCCACACTGTGTCCATCCACTTCACCCACAGCCAGTGGCAGCTTCTATTGGCAACAGTGGCAAGCATGGCCACTACATTTTTTCAAACATTCCCTTCCAACCACCCAACAGGATGCCCGAATTATGATCTCCATTGCCATAGTGAATGCCAGTGGAGAGATGGTACAACCTGCCATTATGCCAACCTCCAGCTGCTGCCAAGTGGTGGTACTATCCTGTATGGTAATACAGACCTGAAGATCCTGAAAGTAGGATTTGATCAACTTTGTTATCTGTTCTGGAACATGGAAGAAGTCGAATGCTGCCCACAGCAGCTTATGCGGCACTGTCCCAAAGGCATTGAAAAGATTTAAGAACACCACATATAGGTCTTTCTTCCACTTTTTGGTCATTTACAACTGGTGCCAAATCATGTTAGCATGTTCCAAACATCCTGAGAAGCCCTTCTCCAGGCTTTTTGTATCACCTCTTTTTCCATGCCACTATCATTAATCTCCAAAGGTACCTAAAATCTCCATGGGCATTCTTGTAGAGCTTGTATGGAACACCCTTGGGTCCAGGGGCTGATGCTGATCTTGCCCACTTTACCGCACTCTCAGCTTTGCTCCATTTAGCGGGCCTTATGTCCATTTGGTGCTCCGGTAGTTGAATTGGTGGCATGTCTTCTGGAATGGAGATTGGCATGTGCCTCTGATTGTCAGAATAAGTCTTCCTCAGGTGTTCCTCAGGATCCACTATGGGTACTTTAAGGATACCGGGTTTCTCCTTGCTAAAGATACTACTGACAAACTTGTAAGGATCTCTGTAGAAGGCAGTCCTGGTTTGCTCCTTCTTCTTCTTTCTCAAGCTTTCTGCTCTTCGTAGTGATGCAAGGCAATGTTTAATATCTTTACTTTCTGCTTCAGTGGCCTTTTTCCACTGTTATCTCAGGCTTCTCCTTTATTTCACAAGTTTGTCAATCTCTTGTTGTCTCCTGGACTTCGGCTGGCCTCCCAGCTCCTTCTGTGGCCTCGGGCTTTTTTTTTCCACTCCAAACCTTTGTGCCCCATAGGTGTAGATAATCTCCCCCATCTTCTCCAGTTTCCTTTTAGCATCTCTTTTCAGGCCTTCTAGCAGCTGAACAAGATCTGTTTTAATGGTTGTCCACTTGCAGCAGGACAGCAGCAGGTTTATACAGGAGGATGCTGTCATGGAATACACAGATACTGTCAAAACCGCTGGCCAAAATAAAAAAAATAAACTAAAATTAAATCATCTTTGAGAGCAAGGGGGCCCCCTGGTGTTTCGGGGGCCCTATGCAACATGCATACTTTGCATATAGGGAGGATTGGCTGGGGGTGAGGTTCAGTCATTGGTTAGATTACCAAAAATATATATATATTCTTGAATTTACAGCATATCTACAATTCTTATGTGTTTCTACTATTAAACGTCTTTGGAATTATCTACAAAATATTACAAATCAAATATCTATATTTAGAAGATTGCTAAATTTGATCTTAAAAAATCAGCAGTGCTGTCAGTCGTCAATGACCAGGTTATGTGACTTAAATTGTAAATATGTTCCTGCCAAACGTGTCATCACGATAAATATATGAGCTAAAGCATAAAGTATGAGCTGCTGTTGTATGTAGTTTAAACACATAAAAGTAGTGATTGTGTTACTATTGGTCTCTGAGGGTTAATACGCTAGTCATGCGAGAGATTCTGACCAGGTATGGTGTAGTATAACTGATATATTCAGTTGGCAGGTTTTTGAAAAATGAGGTCAGGGTAATATGATTCACCAATTAATGTAACAGATATACTTGTCACGGAAACACCTGCCTCACCAGCCGAATCAGCCTCCTACACCCGCTCACAATCACCTGATTACTGATCACGGACACCTGCACCCACTTACCACACCACTCAAATACTCACTCACCTCATTCACTCATCGGCTGGTCTCAAGGTTGTAACCTTCTCTGTCCTGGTTCCTCGCCTTCCGATCTGCCTGTCCCCCTCGGAATCCTCAATTCTCGACCGGAGTGCCGACCCAGATAAGACTGTGTTTTTGCTTCCATTACTCCCTATGTTGAACTCTTTTCCATTGGAAGCCTCTCCTAAGTTCCTATTATTAAACTCTCTGACTTACGTTAACCTGCCTGTCTGCCTCTTTGTCCCGGTTGTGACAATACTTTAGCTAAAATTCTTTAACTTCACATTTATTTATCATCAGCTTGCTTATAATGAACATTTGGATTAAATTAATTTCCTTTAAGTAAGAAAATATTTATTTGTTTAGAGAATATTCATCCTCTGCAGTGTGTCTCTATAGCGTCTCTGAGTTTTGTGCTTCAACGAGAGCCAACTGGTATGATCAGCTTTTAATAATGTTCAGATTTTATTTTTTTTTTATTTTTTTATAAATTGGATTTTTTTTGCTTATGGTTAATTTTGGCCACTTGTGATAATGTGCATAAACTGTAATCACAAGAAATGATCACTGCAAGATAATGAAACATAAAATAAAAACACTGTTAATGCACTGTCATGTACGATGTCATGTAAGTAGCTCTTGGTGAATCTTGATCAACTTGTTACAACAATTACTGGAAAAATCCACTTTCGGTGATTGACAGCTGCAGTTTGTTGACTTTACAGAGTCATTGTCTGGTGGTTTTCTAAAAGTCCTACAATGTATAAGGATGACAATAAACCAGACTATCCTGACTTAACAAAAGAGTAAAAACGTGAGCTAAAGTCATACAGTACTGTAGAGAATAGAGGTGCTTTTTGTCTTTTTTATGTTGGTGCCAAGTTTATTGCCGAGTAAGACTGAGGCAGAATCAATACAATTACAACGTAGTCATTTGTCAATGTTGCACACTAGCACCTGTTTCATTTAGTTAATATTGTTAATTCATGATACCTAATGCATTAACTAATTTACTGCTTTTACTAAATATGTATTATATTTCTTCATAAGAAATAAGAAGTTAAATAATGATCATTTACTTAGTTTATTTAAAATGTATTAGTATATGTAGGAGGTAATAACAAAGTATATAAAAAAAAAACTGTAATAGCACTGTTAATTTTGTTTTGTTAAACTCACAAACAAATTGAATATTACAGTTATACTAAAGACTTCCAACAAGCATTACACATTTGAGAACAGGAAAAAAAGTAGAGTGTTTAATTGACAGTGACACATCTGGAACTTTTACTGCTCATTTATCTATTTCTTGTTTCTTTTCTTTTATATTTGTATTAGTCTGTACATTTCCAGATGAGACATTACTGTCGTGACACATTAATGTGCATCACATGGTTTTTGGGACGTGGGTTTTTGAATGATGAGCTAAAATGTGCACTGGAGGAATGTAGATGTTCCATAAGCGTGTAATTCTGCACCTCCGGTAAACCTGTGAATATAGTGTTCACTTCCTTCAATTGCCCAAGAACAGACTGTATTCTTTACTTCAAATGAAATGATCAACCAACATTTGCCTGTTTTGCCTGCTTCTGTTTAATTTATGCTGTATTTATAAATCAACATCCTTGAATATTTGTTTTCTCTTCATTTTTCCCCCTTTATTTTCTGTATCCAAATATTAAATACCCTTCCTAATTTTCTTAATTGTAACCCGCTACATACCTAGCATGCTGTTTCCCAGCTGCTTTTATAGACATTAGTTTACTTTAGGATTTAGTTGTTAGTTGCATTAAAATATGCATGTATTTCTGTATTTGTGTTATAATTTTGTTAGTTTGCACATCTAAAAATCTCCATCTTACAGCCACTGCCTGCATCCCTCCAGTGGTCTTTAATTAATTAAATGTAAACATTATTAAACATCATTTACATAAATTATTTACAAACAGAACTAACTAACACATTATTAAACTAATTAGCATTATTCTTTTCTGTCACCTTTTATAGTACTGTTTTTGTAAAGCTACTTATCAAATCAAACTTGTCATCATTATATTTCTAAATGCAGCTGCACACAAGGAAACAATCAGTTCAAATAACAAATCTTCATGTTACATGAAAAACTGGTTTAAGACATTGAGACATTTCTTCTGGTTCCAGTAATGATCCAGCCAATGTTATTAATAAAGACACTGATAAGTGTGTGAGATTGTGCAGATCATCATCACCACTGTATTCAGCTGCTCGAAGAGAGAATCTCCCTGAGTTTGCTCTGCAGCAGCATTTGACCTCAGGTAAAGTTATTTCTCTTCATTTCATCTCATCACATTGGGCTCTAATAACAAGATCATTGGCCTTTGACTGATTTAAATTATTTCACAAAATGTTCCTTTTTATATAAATATTTGTGAACATTATGATTTAAGTTGTTTTTACTTATCTGCACAATACACACATACACACACAAACGTACACAAAATAAATAAAATATAACAAAATAAATATAACCAAATGTTTCATGTGTGTGTTGTATATGTGTGTGCAGGTGCAGGAGGTGCCATTCGTCACAATGAGGTTTCTGATCTCACTGTGTGTGTCATTACTGCTGCTAATTAATGGTGAGTGTTTCACAATCTGTCATGTGCATTAAAATAATATTGTTAGTAGGTGGACTAATCTTTCTTAATTTTAATTCATTATGTTGATATTGTGTATTTAACAGGTGAAATAATCAATGGACAATAATGTTTTACTTACATCACTTCTTTTCCTATCCTTTGCTGTCCTTTACAAATATAAAAATAAAAGAAGCATAAAATGAATAATTCTCTGAAAGAACTTTTTTTTTTTTTTTTGCACTTGCACAATTTTATTATTTTTATTGTGTTGAGAAAAAAAATGTGAACGATTCTCCTGGAATGGCTGGTACCGGCTTTTCTACTATGGAATGAACATCCAGATGCCAGAGACCTGTGTTAGTTCATACAGCTGTAACACATACTATACTCTGTGGCTCAATGGTCCTCACCCTCAGATAGATGATGGAGTGGTGATCAGAGAGGTCTGTGGTAATTATTGGAGTGGCTGCTGTGATTACAAGACAAAACCCATCAGAGTGAAAGCGTGTCCAGGAAATTACTATGTCTATGAACTTGTGAATCCACAATTTGGGTGTTCAGGATACTGCACAGGTACCTTGCTTTTTAGCACTTTACAAAGTCTTTTCTAACTTTTTAAATGTCCTCAGTCATGTCTTGAATGTCCTTCTTTGTAGATGTCAGCATTATTTCACAGGCTGCTTCTACTGTAAGCCCAGATATAGTCACTGGAACCAGCATCACCTTGAGTAAGTTATATAAAATATTTAATTTTTTAAATGTATTTATGGTAACACTTGAGATTAGGGAACACTATTAACTAGTTGGTTATCAG